TATGGTTTGAGCAACTGCTTGCCTTCTCAACTTCTTCCTCATCATAGTTGATTTAACCAAGGAGGGTGGACTAAGGTGTGTCAATTGCAGTGAATACATCATTTTTAAAGTGTGGGTTCTGCTGTCCTTAAAAGAGCCACTGGTGCAATAAATCCCCCCAAAACCCTCACTGGGCCAAGTACTTTATAAATTATTAAATTCTTCCTCCTTTTGATAAGAGGATGATTGTAACTTGGTAAGAGACATTGTTGCAAGATACTGATTGCAGACCTTTTCTACTCTGGGTACTAGCGCTGATCGAATCTGTCCAATGAAGGCTCTTTATCAAGAGTGTAAACCTGCTTTTTCTTGCCTTATTGTTACAGGGTTTGCCGCTGTCTCAGAGGTGCTGTATCTGAAGTGGAAGGGAACCACCTGTCAATTATCTAAAATGGGATTAGTTCTATATCAAAATCATTATCACTGGGCATATTGACCTGGGCAAATCCCTCATGGATGTTTATCTGATTTAAAAATGTAGTGAGATTGAGAAAGAAGATCACTGAGAAATTCAAGATGGAAGCTGGTGAGATGGACAAGCATTCCTTCAAGTATGGATCGGCGTTGCACAAGTTTAAGGCAGAAGATAAACCTGCAGTGTTGTTGCAAGGTATTAATTCAATACTGAGTGCTATTTGATATCATGTGAAAGTTGAAGTATGGGTGAGAGGCTAGTTCTGTATCACCAATATGACACCCACAGCTCCATCCTAATGGGAGAAGGCTATTTATGTAAAGTAATTCTGTATCCCAGTCCATTATGGCTCCAAAAGTAAGGAACAAATAAAAAATCAAAATTAAAACAATAAAATGATATTTTTAAAGCACATTAAAATGCCCTTCAGACTCCTCCTAAATGCAGGTGACCTGTGTGGTTTTGAAACTTGCAGATAACCATTTCCTGGGTGGTGGGGGTGGTGGATGGAGGCAATGTATAAAGGAACTTACATTTTAACTTGGCACCTGCCCATTAGTTTTTTTCCCCCCTTTTATTAAACTTGGACAGTTCTTTAAGTTCTCAGAGGATCCTGTGGTTGAAAATTGGCCCATATTGCCATGGCAGTTGCTCACCCAGGTGTCCCACACACCCTAATAAATAATAACTTTATTTATACCCTGTCACCATCCCCCAAAAGTGACTCGGGGCGGCTTACAAAAGCACATAATAGTGCTGTAAGAACTGCAGAATACAATAAAATATATACACATTTATAAAATAATAATTAACATTAAAAGAATTACATTAAAACATACAAAAACCCCTGAACTATTAAGGTGTTTTCAAGTTTTTCCTTGTTTAAAAAGTTAAAAGAAATTGCTTTTATCCTGATTATTGATTTAAGTTGTTTTAAGCTTAATCTTATGGAGTCTTGTAGTTTGCAATGTTCTTATTTTTGTGGAACCATCGCTTTGTTTTCTTTTATAAAACACTTCGGGATTTTTTAAAGTGGTATATTAATGCTTTACAGTAACAGATACCATAAATATATATATCTCTCAATCTGACAAAAGTTGGAATAAGATTTTACTCCTCCAAATTCCATTTATCTACTTTGGCTGGACTGTGGCTGGATCTGCATTATATGGAACTGCATTATTTCGTCAGTGTAGACCTATATAATTAAGTTCAGTGCAATTAAACTGCATTATATGGGTCTACGCCAGTGGACTAATATAATGCAGTGGTTCCCAACCTATGGTCCGTGGATCACCAGTGGTCGCCAAGAACTAAAATATGGTCTGTGGCCTCACCATTACTACACCATTGCAACGAGAGCAACTGGTCTTGCGAAACCCTCTTATAGTGTGGAGGCTTATTAAATATGGTTTTCTGTGGACGAGCAGATGGTGACTACTGGATGGCATATGTTTTGTATCGGAAGTTGATGTGGTCTATCCATTGCAATTTTCTAAATCAGCACCCCAAATAACCAAACTCAATCTAAAGTTGATCAAAAACCAATTCGTAACTCTTTTGGTACAAATGTTGGAAAGTGGTCCCTGGTCAAAAAAAGGTTGGGAACCACTGGTCTACACCATATAATGGAGTTCCAGACAATATTTTATGGCAGTGTATATTGACATGAGAAGTATGAGTTTTACCATGTTGACATGAGAAGTGTGAGTTTAACCATGTTATTAAACCGTTTTCTAAGTGTATAATCTAATCTATACCTGTATTGTATTATACATACTGATTCCCAAAAACTTACTTTAAAAAAATCCCACTTCTATTATCACAATTCCCTGTGGCACAAGAACTTTAGAAGAACTTGACATATCAAAATTTACATTTAAGTCACTAAGAAAGGTGTATAAAACATGACTTAACCAGAACATGGAAAGTGGGGATTTTCATTGTTTCCTGGAACTTAAGAACAGGAAAGGCTAAAAGCCCATTACACTTTAAAACAGTGTGAAGGAGAAAAAATAAAATGCAAGTGGAGAAAAACAAACCTGTATCTCAGTGAGCAAAGATGTTTGTTCATTCTGTCCAGAATCCAAAACAATGCCCAGATTTGTTGACCTCACAACCTCTGAGGAAGCCTGCTAGAGATATGGGCAAAACGTCAGGAGAGAATGCTTTCGGAACATGGCCATACAGCCCAGAAAACTCACAGAAACCAAAGCCCTGGAGTGCTGTTGTGCTTGTCCCTTCTTTTGCTTGAGCCCTTTATCAAAGACCTTATTTATTTATTTGAAACATTTATATTCCGCTCTTCTCACCCCGCAGGAGACTCAACACAACATATATACGGCAAACATTCAATGCCGGGACTCTATACGGTTCTGGCCCAGCTTACTTGTCCGAACGCATCTCCCACTAAGTCCCGCCTTGTAGTTTAAGATCATCCGGGGAGCCCTTGCTCCCGCCAGTGTCGCAAATACGTCTGGCGAGGATGAGAGACAGGGCCTTCTCAGTTGTAGCCCCCCACCTGTGGAACTCACTTCCCAATGAGGTAAGATTGGCTTCATCCCTTCTGTCTTTTAGGAAGAAATTGAAGTCATGGTTCTGGGAGCAGGCTTTTGGACAGCAGGCATAAATAGCTCTTTGGATATGGAATTTGACTGGAATGGTGATACGGCGGTTAATACTGTTTTTATTGTTTTAATTAATGTTCTATTTATTGTTTTAATTGTTATATTGTATTATGAAAGGCTTTCATGGTCAGAATCACTGGGTTGTTGTAGGTTTTTTCGGGCTATATGGCCATGTTCTAGAGGCATTCTCTCCTTACAACAACTCAGTTGTTATATTGCTTTGTTATATTTAATGGCATCAAATTGTGCCAAATGTAAGCTGTCCTGAGCCCCCCTCGGGGGTTGAGAAGGACAAGGTAGAAATGCTGGAAATAAATAAATAAAATAAAACCATAAATATGCACAAACATTAAAACAACTTATATCCACTTTAAAACCAGTTGCTTAAAAACCATCCCAGGACACCATTCTATTATTGCCTCATTGCACTGCCCCAAAGGCTTGGTCCCACAGCCAGGTCTTCACCATCCTTCTGAAGGACAGGAAGTGACTTACTCCTTCTCTTGGGGAAAGTCACACTCTCTCAGCCTTAGCAAAGGCAAGCCTCTCTTGAAAAAAATATATCTTGCTAAGTCTGAAAAAGACTTGAAGGCACACAACACTGACTCACTAAACCTTAACTTAGCAATCCTCGTAGTAGGACTATGAGTAAGCCTGATTAATTTCCACAGTGCAGGTATTTGCTTCCCAAGCCTCCAAACCCTTGTGATGGCTATTGTTTAGGGTAGCGCATGCATAGTTATTTCTGTCCTGTTTATCGCCCCCTCCCTCCCTCCCATCTCTGAGTCCTTGGTGCCCTGTTGCATCAACTTCCTGTGGAGGAGAAGAAGAAAAAAAACATAATCTTTGCTTTGGGATGATGCCGATTCCCTTTTCCTTCTTCTTCTTCACACTCCCCCTTCATCCCTCCTCCAATCCATCAGCTTCCTGTGCAAAATAATAATCCCTTTCGTCGGGCTCAAAAAGATGCTTTGGTGCATCAACTTCCTGTGCGATTGCTGGCGGGTGTGTAACGTGTGTATACATATTTACTCCTGCTCTTTAGACTTCATTTTGATACATCAACTTCCTGTGTAGAAATGTGTGGTGATGATGATGATTTTGGGGGGAGGGGGGCGGCACTGTTTGTCAAGGGGAAAGCCTGGCTGGTGGGTGCTGCTTTCTGCCCCCATTCGCTTCCTGTGCAGAATCCTCTGCGTTGTTGGGGCGGAGTAAGGAGGAAGGATGCTCGGCGAAGGCGGTGGGCTGCTTCTCTGCTCTCTCTTCATTCCTCGGTGGATCCGCTTCCTGCGCCAGAGCCGCTCGCCTTTCGGAGGGGGGCGCAGGGGAGGCGAGGCCCGGGCCCTGGGTGGGCCCTTTCCGGGCTCCCTGGGCCCTCCTGCCCGGCGCCCGAGCCTCCCCGCCGCCCTCCTCCTCCTCAGCCTCCGCTGCTCTGCGAGAGTTTGCTGCCCTACTTCACTCTACTTTAGTTTCACTCACTTTACATCCGGGTTTTTTCCCTAGGCAATGGGGGCCGCAGCACAGCCCGTTCCTTAGGCAAAGGGAAATAAATTCGCCGCACCGACACGTCAAATAGTCCCTCCCCTCTCAGGAGGAGGAGGAGGAGGCGCCCCTTTCCCGACCAGGCCCTGCTCCTTCTCTCTCTCTCTCTCCTCCACGCCGGCGTGGGGGTATGGGGTGGGGGACGTCCTGCGTGGGGAGAGGGGCTCGCCTTTCCCCATTTCCCTCCGCTTTTGTCCCCACCCCTCTCTGGAGAAGAAGCGGCCCGAGTCTGTGAAGCGAGCTGTCTGTGAGGGAGTTGTGTCGGGCCCGCGCGCAAAGTCAGTCAGTCAGTGAGTGAGAGAGCGAGCGGGTGCGCGCGCGCGTGTGTGCGCGCGGCAGGCGAGCAGGAGCCGGGAGCGCGCCCCGCTCTGGCAGGCCAAGCCAAAGCGGCGGAGGGATCCCGGCGTGCGGGTGCTGCGGCCGGGGCCGGGTGAATGGGATTGAAGAAGAGTTCAGCTTCTCGGCTTGTTTTTGTGTCACAGTTTCTCTCCTCCTGCGCCTCTTGGGCTCCGGCCTTCCCTCCCTGCCCGTCCCCTCTTCCCCGCTGCAGGAGGAGGCCCCCGGGGAGAGGGGAAGGAAAAGCACCCCTCAGAGGAGAGAGAAGAGGAGGAAAGCAGCCTCAGCAAGAGCAGGAGCAGGAGGAGGAGGAGGAGGAGGAAAAGGGAGCAACCAGCCAACCAACCATCTTCCACTCCCAGCTTAGATTAAAGAAAGTGAGAGGAGGAGGAGGAGGAGGAGAGAAGAGGAGGAGGCCCGAAGCAGAAGCAGCAGCAGCAGCCGCACCACCTTCTTCTCCTTCTCCTCCTTATGAAGAAGAGGACTACTTCTTCCCCTCACAGAGAGAGAGAGAGAGAGAGAGAGGTCCTGCCAAGAGGACATCAGCAGCATCACCAGCAGGGTGTAGTATCCCACCTTTTGGATTCTCTCCTCATCTCCCTCCCTCTCCTTGTTTTCTCTTTCTTTCTGTCTATCTCTCCCCCTCCCCCCCCCCCAATTTTTTAGGACTCCATCCCCATTTCTTGCCTTGGGAGTTTGATTTGGGGGGGGGGGATATAGTCCAGTGGGGTGGCCAAGTCCACCATGAGACTCCTCCTGAGGCAACTTGGAGAATCAGGAGCAACAACTTCATGACCCCCCCCCCCTTCTCATTCCCCATCATTATCACCCCCCCCCCATCCCAATAGGAGATGCGGGAAGCGGGCATGTGTCCTTTCTCTGTCACCTGTAAGGATCCAAGTAAGTTTGTCTCTCAGTGAGGAGGAGGAGGAAAAGGAGGTGACACATTGGAGTGGGGAGAGAGATGACACATTGGCCAAGAGGGGAGGGGAATCCAGATTCCTCCCATTCCTTCTGCTTTGGGATGATGATAGTGGTGGTGGTGGTAGTAGTGGTGATGATGATGATTTCCAGGCCGTTTTTCCTTCTATCCAGATGCTGCTGCTGCTGCTGGGAGAAGTTTTATTATCTTGGAAATGATGCTGCTTTGATGATTGAGGATTTGTAGTAAAGCTGCAGGCGTTGTTGTTTCCCCCCCTCCAACCCTTCCCCCCCTCCAACCCTTCCCCCCTCCAACCCTTCCCCCCTCCAACCCTTCCCCCCCCCCTCCAACCCTTCCCCCCCCCCTCCAACCCTTCCCCCCAATCTCTCACTCTCTTCTCCTTCTTCCTTTAATTTGTCTTGGTGGCCCAAGTAGTGCTGGGAAAAAAAAATCCTTGTTTCTTCAGCAACTTGTTATTCTGAAGTCTCTGTTCAGGTGTCCCCCTCGCCCTTTCTGCTGGCATACAAAGCTGCTTGCGAAAACACCTCTGGGATTTCACACTCCTACTCTGGCACATGTTTGCGGGGAGTGGAGACCTGTCCCTTCTCTCTCTCCCACCCCCTTTTTACATTTTCCTTTTTCTAGGAGAAGTATGGCTGTCTATGGGACTGGCTTTTGATCTAGCCCTCTTGTACTTGCTGTTCTGGGTACTTTCCCCTTCTGCTTCCCTTCTTTGTTATTCTGTGCCTTACTATAGATCCCACCCCCACCCCCCTCTCAGCCTGCAGTGTGGTTAATGCTTTCAGGATTTCAGTGTTAGACTTTGTTCTTTTCGTGGGAGAATGTGGATTGGATCAAACCCATTCACTCAGCAGTCATGAAATGATGTTTTCCTTGTACTTGTTGGGATACAGATACACGTTTTGGTTATTGGTCTGCAAGAGCTTGCAGGTGGCAAGGTGAGGATGCCATTGCATTTAAATCAGATGCTTTTTTAAAAAGTCAAGTTAGATTAGGCATGGGCAAACTTTGGCCCTCCAGGTGTTTTGGACTTCAACTCCCACAATGCCTAACAGCCAGTAGTTGAAGTCCAAAACACTTGGAGGGCCAAAGTTTGCCCATGCCCGAGTTATAGTATAGAGATGTGACAATATGTTTTTGTAAAATCATTTGGATTGATTTTCAAGTAAATATAATTACAGTTTAGGTGTTACTTTGTTTTGTGAGTGATGAGCTGTGTGTGATCTGCAAAGTTATAGTAAATTGATATTTGTCTAGGCCTATGTACTTGACATTGAACTTTACTTTGACTGGATTCTTCAGTTATTGTTGCTGTACTAATGTAACTTCTTAATGAAAGTTAAGACTTATGCATATGAAATATAGCACACAGTCTGAGGTCATTTTATCTCAGTTAATAAAGCTATATATTTCTTTGCTGATTAACACTAGGCTTGAAATTAGTACACTTGATCAAGTTAATCACAGCAAGACATTATTACAATATTCAGGAGGAAGGGTTGTTCCTTCTTGCTGATATAATATAACTGCTTAGTAAAAATATTTTAAAGGACAGGAACTAAAGGGGGGAAAGTATCAACAAAGAACTTTCAAACTATATATGATACTAAGAGAAAAGTATGGTTTTGACACATGGTAGTGAAATATTCAACATTCTTTACTCAAAACTGACTTCCACTGTTTTTAAATTTGGAACTTTATTGAAACGAATGTACTTTGATGTCAGAGATATTTGCAGTAGGAATGTGAAAATTTGAGGGGCTCTGTTTTCATAGATGAGCTTGCTTGAATTTTATTTATCTTTTCCTTTGGCAACACTTGAGTATCTGGTTTCGGTTTGTGATAGTTTCATTTTTATACTACATATAGAACCAATGTTGTTTAATTTTATGATACAGTTAATGAATACATCAGTAACTATTCTCATAAAAATAAAAATGGAATGGCATTGAATGTTTAATTATAGTACTGTGGTTGAGAGGGGGCAGGACTGGAGGTCAACATTATTAAACATTTTTTGTGATCTGACTTTAAATGTGGGCTCCCCAGTAGATTTTTTAACATTGACATTACTGCTGTCCATTGAATATATCTTAGATTTTAAATTAGTGTTTTAAAATAACTTTTAAAGAAATTACTTCTTTCTCTGTTTTTAAGTGTACTGATAGTCAGTGAGAGTTCTGGGTAGCAACACTGCTATATTCTGAGAATGTATTCATCCACAACATATTTTCTGTTTTTAAGTTTGCTATTAATTGCTCTGCTAATTTTTCTTGCATATTTTTAAAAAATCAAATAGGCTGTGTCTGATCTTAAAATACTAGTGAAATTAATTTTACCAGTGTCTGTTTAGTTTTGTTTGAAGGAATAATTCCTGTTCAGTTTTTGAGTTTTGTTCTACCTCAGTAGCTATATTAGTCCTCAGCAATAAACGTAGTACATATGACACCTTTATGAAACAGACCATTTTCTTCTATTTTGGAATTGCAGTTTTGATCTTTGTGAGTACTGTGGTAACTTCTATGAATTATTTGGTTGATAGAGTGTTTATGAGAAAATAAGTGGGTTATGAATAATTTTGAGGTGTTACTTTTCCAGGAAAAGGGGAATCTTGGCTAGAGTCAGTTTCATTTTACTGTCTATATACTGTAGTCTGTAAAGGTCAGCAAATTGGAAGCATCCTTATAAGTTGCAAACCTGTGTTTGTTTACTTTGCAGTAAACATCATTGGATCCAGTGAGGTCTACTTCTAAGTAGAAATGTATTAGTTTGCACAGTAAATAATTTTAGGACAGATATTAATATTCAGTATTTAGATTGCTTTAAGATGAAACTTGGTTATTGATAGAAAAGCTTGTATTATTATTTTTGCTCTTCTGCGCCATAACCATAAATGTAAGTTATAAGGACAAGGCTATGTTTTCTAGACTGTATTAGGAATAATTATTAAAAGTATGCAGGTACAAAGGATTTTGAGCTAATATGGTTTTACTTCAAGTTTGATATTGACACTTTAAGATTTCAAGTGATTTTGTACAGATAAATTATTCTGTTCTTACAAACATTTGAGTAACTGCTTCCCATAGATTTTGAAGTTTTGCAGATTTTAGCAAATGACTTATGTCCCAATTCAGGCAGAAGCATTTACTCCTAAATCCTATTGACTTTTAAGAGGTAAGATTTCAGCACATGCTTGTTCCTCCTGTTGCAAGTGGTGTAACTTTAAAGTCAGAGTGTCACCTCGAGTCCTTCTTTTGTGGGAAAAGGTGGGATATCAATAAAATAATTGATAAGGTAAATTGTCCTTTTCTTATAGTATTGTTAGTATAGCAGAAAACTATTATTACAGTTTAATATGGTGAAATCACTTCTCATAGTTGCTCAGGAGGGTTGCACTTTGTACTACAGAATTTAAACAAGGATGAGTTGCTTCATTACTTCAGGGTGAGCTTTTATGCTGAATGTTTTGGTGAATTGAAGTCTGCAGAGATGCTAAATTTCAGAATGTAGGTTGTCCATATTTTTATAATATAAAAGTTATACTTTTTCTGATGAAAAAACAACTGATTAAAGGTGGTGATTTTTTACTCCTTATGAAAATCAATGTACGAAAGTTAAGATGAATATACTAAACAGAAAACTTATTTCCATTATTTTAGTTTTTATAAATAACACAAACGCAAATTCACAAACCTTTTGAGTCTTATGGAGAAAAAGTTGTGAATAGTTCTTAAAGGTATAAAAATTATCTATGTCGCATTTATCATATATACTTAGACACATTTATTCATACTACTGCTATGCATATTCAGCTGTTATTTTATATAGTTCTTTGGAAATTTGGAGGACTGATACAACTTCCTTCCCTCCTGTTGTGGAAGTTCCTTTGAACAAGTACCTGTATTTACTCGAGTCTAATGCGCCATTGAATCTAATGCACACCTCAATTGTCAAAACCCTGAAACCCAAAAAAGTAGTTACCATATTACGCGAATCGAATGCGTACCCTAATTTTAGGAAGGTAATTTAGTAAAAAAAAAGGTGAGCATTAGACTCGAGTAAATACGGTATATTGTTTTTGTTGGTTCATTTTGTACAAAGGTACTAGTGACAGTAACCAGTCAGTACCTATACTTAAAAACTTTAGTGCTCAAATGTTATAATGTTACAAATATAAAATATATTTTAAGTATATGTGTCAATCATAGTTGATATGTTAAGGGATCCATGGGTAGTTACTAGCAAGTGAAATGGAAGTTTCATTAGTAACTGCAATATTAACTAATCCTTTAATGTTTAACTCTGAACAATGATGTGCACATCTTCCAGAATCATGAAGGATATGGAAATGATTTATTGACAATTGCAACTTGTGCATTATGCCTCTTGAGGGAATTAATGTTAAATATTCCTAGGATCTCTTTAAAAGAGTGAAAGGTAGGAGAACTACATAGAAAGCTTGGTATTTCCACAGAAGTTTGTTTGTTTGCCAGTTTTGTGCATGAAGGAAGTTTTTCTTCTAAAACTCCTGACAATTAAAAGTTGAACTCAAAATCACCAATATATACTAAGTTTTCAAGCATTCCATTTTAAAGATGCTATTAATATCGTTCTGTTAA